GATCTCCACTTTGGGTGGAAGTTCTTTCAAAGTTATACAAGATAGGGTAGCCAATTATTACACGCCAGGCATGAATAATTAACAGGCTGGCACTTGTGCTTTCTTTGTTTTCTCAAGTTTCATAAAAGGGGGGTTATATTTTTGCTTGGGTGGCAGGGGGATGAGGGGTGGGGAAAATTCCCCAGTGGCAATTGTACAGAAGTTCAATTAGATCAGTCTCACTGGACACAATCTAAGTTTGACTACCTCAGATGTTCAGTTAACTTAAATCTAGTTGGCCTTTTTTAGGTGAATCTAATTGTCCTGAACTTCTGTACAGTTCACACTTAGATTCACCTAACTAGGGATTGAAGTGTTAACCTCCACACCTAGGTTAACTGAATTATATCAAGTAGCCATTTGTAACGCAATCTAACCTCTCAGGATTTCTGTATGTACCCTCAGTATGGTGCAGAATTTCACTTTGTATAAATAATAACTTACTTTGTTACAAAATAACTGCATTGGGTTTTAACAGTAATGGTTAGGGTTTTCTTTTGTCCTTAAATTATCTGGTTAAAATTCATTTGAGCAATAAGCAAGGGAAAAAACAGCATATATGTAAACAAGATTTATGCTATGTTAATAGTGTCCTTTTGGCAACTGAAAAATATTTATGATTTAAACAAAACCAATGAAATACAAAAATACCTTTAAATTAAAAAAAATGGAAAGAGAATGAACAACATACTCTCACTTGCATTTCTATATAGTTCCACACTTTTAATGTCTTCTTTTGTATTTGGCTGTTTTGTCTTTTTAAAATAATCAAAATGAAGCAGGTGGAAATAGTCACACAGCCACGGGGTCATTTACAATAATGGAGGGAGCATCATTCAACACTAGTTTACAACAAAGATCATCACCCGTCTTCAAGGTCCTTGCCTTCGATATTCAACAAATGGTAAGAGCCTATCAAGCTATGGTAGATGAGGTTCTTTAGATAAATCTGATATCTTTTACTAGACCAGCTAAAATAGTTGGAAAAATTTTTAGTTGCAAGCTTTTGAATACAAACACACTTCTTCAGGCTGAGGAAGTCTGCAGTTGTTCTGTGCTCTTCCAGGATGGGATAGAATAGAATACAAGCCAGAGGCCAGTATGCAAGGATGCCAATCAGTGAAAATGCAAACTGATGCTGTCAGTGGGTGAGAAACAGGGGAGGCGAGAGGGGAAAGGGGAATGTAGACCTGGTGATAAATATAACCTGGTAAATAGTAGAGAGATTACCTGGGGTATCACATATTAGGAAGGTTGTAATGTGCCATAAATCCAATGTCTATGTTTAGTCCATGCTTTTTTATGTCCAGTAGGCTGATGAAGTGACGTTCGTAGGCTCGTCTGTGAATGGTGTTTTGTAAATTCCCTTTGAGGCTTAGAACTGAGAGATTGGAGAGAGAGTGGTTGTCCTGTGAGAAATGTGGCCCCAAAGTAATTGGGTATTCTTGTCTTTGATAGATTTTCGGTGCGTGTTCATTCTGGTGCACAGCTGTTGTTTGGTCTCTCCTACATGTTTTCCATCTCGGCATTTGGTGCACTGGAGGTGCAGGCGTAAGATTCAGGAACATTGATGGTTCTGTTATGGGTTGTAGTTATTGTGGGGATGGGGGAGATGTGTTGGCAGGTTTTACATTTCTTTTCATGGCATAGTCTGGATACATTCAGTATGCTTTGAACCATAGCAAGCTTGCTTCTGGTAATGAGGTTCACGAGGCTGTCTTGTTTAAAGGCTAGAATGGGTGGTTCTGGGAAGATCTTCTTAAGATTTGGGTCTTCATTTAGTATGGGTCGCAGTTGTTTGAGGATTTTCCATATAGGTTCCAAGGAAGGATGGTGTGTCATAATTAGAGGTGCACAATTCATGAGGATTTTCTTCCTGTACTGCAGCAATTTTTCATGTGGAATCAAGGTGGCTCTTTCATAACTGCAATGTCTCTCTGGAGGAGTGTCCTGGTTGAGTGAAAGCCCTCCTGAGATGTGTAAGGGATGATCATGGGTGTTCTCCTCAGTGCAAATTTGGTGGTACTGGAGGGCTTAGCTGTATATTACAACTTTCTTGGTGTGTTTAGGGTGACTGCTGGTTCTGTGCAGATATATATGTTGGTCTGTGGGTTTCTTGTATATGGTGGCTTGCTTTTCACCATTCTGGATACTGATTACAGTGTCTAAAAAGGAAATGTTGGTGCTGGAGTATTCAAGAGATGGACGGGTGATTATTGAATTTCTGATGGAAATCAGTTGGTGATTGCAGGTTTTCAGTCCAAATTATGAAGATGTCATTGATAAGTATAGCAAGGGTTTGATGGTGCAGTCCTTGAGGAATTCTTCTTCCAGGTGACTCGGAAAAAGGTAGACATACTGTGGGGCCGTTTTGGTGCTCATATCTGTGCCCATGGTCTGGAGGAAGTGTTGGTTATTAAAAGTGAATTTGTGTGTGAGGATGAAGTGTATAAGGTCAGTAATATCTTTAGGTCTGTCCTCTGAGTTGTAATCTTGTTCTTGTAGATATGTAAGGCAGGCTTGGATGCCATCCTGGTGTGGGAAGTTGGTATATAAGCTAGTAACATCCATGGTGGCTAGGAGGGTGTTACTGGGAAGGTGGTCAATGTTTGTAAATTTTTGTAGAAAGTCTCTGTCTTGGACAAAACTTGCTTTTTTGTTGACAAAATGTTTTAGGATTGATTTGATGAAACCTGATATTTCCTCAGCTAGGGTCCCATGCTTGGATATGATAGGTCTGCCAGAGTTCCCTTGTTTGTGGATTTTAGGAGCCATGTAAAAAGTCTATGGTTAATTCAGGAGAGTATAGTAGATAGCATGATCTTAAATGTATTAATTTCCTAAAGTCATCTGTGGTTGGTGCCTTTTTGCCTTCCTCTTTGTAACTGATATTTCTGTTTCTCAGCCCAGGCAGAATTCAAAATATTTAAATGTGTAAATTGATCAAGGTGTGAAGAAAAAATTTGAGAAGAAAAAACTGTGCACTGTTAAAATTGTAATTGCCATGTGCATTTGGATAGTCCTCAGTAATGTACTTTCTCAGATTTTTTTTCTATAGATAGATGAAGTCTTTCAAGCAAGTCAGTTGAAAAATGAATTTAAGGGTTCTGAAGTTTTGCAGTTCAAGTGAGTATAATATAATTAATATTTTTAGTTAAAAGTCCTCACTAGAGAAGGAATATCAAGCATTCTATGTATCAGGAAGTCCTTGGGAACTTTTCAGTTCTCTCCCCTTTATCCTCACTCAGTGAAAATCAGTGTAATTGTATTCTTTTCAGATAGCACCTTTCCAAACATATTGATGCTGCTTCCCTTGTCCAAAGAGATGCAGTTATCTACTAATTATGTCCAGAAAAATTCAGTGTTGCAATGAAAAACTGGAGGGCAGGAAATGGGGAGGAGTATGCTGCAGAACAGGTATATGATTTTTGTCAAGCTCTGTCAAGTATTCGAATTCTGCAGTGCTCCCAGACCAGGAAATATTTCTGCTAACCTCAGCAGACTTTGGATCATGCTCCCAATGTTTTGTAAAGGCTCTCTCTTCCTTTCCATTCTGAAAATACTTAAAAAATACTACTTTGGCTCAGAAATCATTTTCTGGTCGACTCTTTTCATTAAAAAAGTGTTTACCCTTTTGGGCAATCTGGTTATTATTTCACCCTTGGAACTCAGCTAAGTCACAAAGATAGCAATAATAGCTTTTGTTTGCTCAGCACAGCCTAGAGGTTATCAGAAACATTTAAGAAATTAAATAAGAGAGGTTTTTTTCAATACATTGCAAACTGTGCTCAATGCAGTGATAGGATTAATCACTGCCTATCAAAGAGTGTTGTTGAATCTGTGGCAACCTGCTGCCATAAATGCTTTAAAATAAAGATGGTCACTGCTATTTTTTCAGCAGAGGGAGAAAATCTTCCTGTCTTCTGTAAGTAAAACAATGTATTGACACATTAATTTAATCAAGATCTTTCTACAAATATAGAATCCTTTAACAGGTGAGGGGTGGGTAGTGTTTAAGATTAAATCCTTTACCCATGGAGGCTGATGGAGTTTTTGCTCTTAATGGAAGTTTACTTTTTCCTGGTTGGCATCCAAGAAATCACAAACAAAATCTGAGTGGTCATAGAATCCACCTGTGGTGTGATTAGGCTTTGGATCCTAAAAATGTGCACTTTATAATAACATATAATGCCTTTTACAATATGGGCATGTCAATGATATTATAATGTTCAAAACACCAGACCAAAATCCAATTCAACTTGGTACAGAAATGCAAGGTCCTGCTGGTTCTCCTCTTTTTTACACCAGAGTAACTCTATGGATGCCTATAACATCAGAGTGACTTTGTACTTATGTGGGTAAAAGAAGAATTGAGTTCCTGCCTTGTTCAGTAACTCATGAAAATCAGGCCTTTTAAGGTGTTTCAAATTGGCCACCCATTATATCACAATGGTTTGTATTTAAAAATGGAACCTATTAGAATGAGATCCTTTCTAGGTGATATGTCCAATATTTTATTTGCTTGCTATATTTGGTAACAAATGTCTTTTTGTTCGTTATTTCTTGTATTTGGCAGAAATGGCAGTGTTATTGTGATATTCACCCTTGCCTTCACACAGTGGGTGTCTAATGAGAAAATAACTAATGAAATGGTTTCAGGTGTTGAAGCAAAGAAAGCCAGCTTTTTGCATACAGTTAACATTGATGTGAAGAGCATAACAATTACAGGTATTATTCAAAAACAATTGCTATCTTTAAAACCTGGAAAATCAGAGTTATATGATTACAAATGTTGATCTCCAGTTAGCCATGGGATCACTGCAGGACTACAGATCTACTCCTGTTTAACTAGTTCCTACATCACAGCCTATAAATAGTAATGAAATGCCATCCAGTTAATTTATGTTTTTCACAGTAATCACCATTTTATCATTCAATACCTTTATTGTTGATATGATTGAGTCCTAACAAAGTATCTTCCTAGGTATTTATGGAACAACCTACCCAAGGATACTGATAGGCTCTTGTTTAGAGTAACCAAAGTGTTTAATTTCATTTGTAGGGGCAGCTGTAGGGAAGAAGGGCAGCTTTAAAGTGGGTTATCAGCTAATGAGAAAGGAAACAGGGTTTAGGTTTTCTCTGATACTGGAAATGGATTTAAATACAGAGGAGAGTCTCTGGTGACTAGGCAATGAAATGGATGATGTCAGTTTAAGTTCCATAAAAATATCAAGGTGACAGTGGATGTGAGCAAAGAGAAATAGATCAGGTCCTGATCCAAAGAAAATCTTTCCTTTGATTTCAATGATCTTCAGAACAGGCCCTCACTGAGGAAGAGGATAAAAAGTGATTTGAATCCCTTGAAATGGGAGCTGATTAGCTGACATTTTAAGATCTACTGGAGATAGTATTAAGTAGCTACTTATTGTAAGAGGAGTGGGACATCTGGTGCGTAATGTTTCTTACTTTATTCTAATGGCACATTTCTTGTTAAGTACTTTAGGTATTCAAAGGCTAAATTCAGAGTCTTGACATCTTTATTTCTCTTGACTACTTTCACCATCTATAAGTTGTTCTTCTAAATAACTAACTGCATATCGCTGTGGGAACTGATTGCTCATTATATCCCAAAAATGCTGTAGAAGAAGATTATGGTGGGCTTTTTAAAAGGTTGCTATCTCAAATTGTGAACTTTGGAGTAGTCAGACTTTTCCTTCTGGGAGCCATTAAAAAAAATCGCCTATTTAAAAGGTTCTCAGCTGTGTATTTCAAAAATAGTTTTGGAAAAAAAAAATCAGTATCTGGTACTGAACATTCAATTAATAATAACCATGAGCCTTCATAGCTTTTTATTTCAAAATAACACAATCTGCAAAGAAATGGCTACTTTCCATTTTGTAAATAAGTAAACTAGTGCATACATGATCACAGTTTCCAGAGAAATGGAAGGCAACTCCTTTTTCTACAAATCATTGCCAGAACCTGTGTTAATTTCAACTCATTAACTGAGTTAAATATTGTTTTATATGATACAGGTGCTACAAAAAGCCCTGTGATCTGAATAATATCATCTGAAATGGTTATATGGCTAGCTTGTTATATAGATGTGGATTATCCCTAGACAAAGAAGCTTTCTGTATAAAATCCCATGGAGGGGATAATAAAGAAGGACTAAGATGCTTATGTGAAGAGAGAGAGAGAGATAGGGGAGAAAACGGATGACATGAAGCTGGATTCCTGTGTAAACTGATGGAGAAGACAATCTTGGAGAAGTGCAGGACAGACAGCAAAAGAAAAGTAGGAAGCTGCTAATGGTTTCACATATCATTCAGATAAAGAAATCGCAATTGTTTGAAGTGTTCCCCTATTGAATGAAGAATTTCAAAATGCAAAATGCAAAACTGTTTCTAGAATAATGAATTTATGCTATACTTGCTTTGTTGCAGCAACTACTGAAAATGTCACTCCAAGCTACTCTCCAACCTCATCAGGTCAGTAATTCTCATAAAACAGAAAATGTTTGTGTACTCAATAAGTTATGATACCTAGAAAAGGAGTTTTTTATTCACCAGATATAAACAGCATTTGTTCCACTTCATAACTTCATCTTCACTTGATACCCTAGCTTGTCTGAGGAATTTCAATTTGTGTTTCATAAGGAAGTCTTCGGGTTCTAGTGAAACTAGGGATAAAACAATTTGCTAAAAGTAGCAATGAGTTTAAATATTTGTCAGTCTGCTGAACGCAAATTAACCTTTTTGAAAATTGAGATTACAGGTTTTGTTTTGTTTTGTTTTGGTTTGGTTTTGTTTTTTAAGACAGAGGCCTTTTTATTTTGAGAACTGATTAACTTAATAACTTTGCTGAATTATATCTCCAGTAGAAACTTGATGGAGTTAGCGACACTTAGATTTCCTTTAACATAGGGATATTGGCATAGCTGTTGATTCAGAGAAATTTAGTGATAAGCTGGGAGGGTCAGATTCAGAGACTGAAATAAATGGTTGTGGTCTAGAGTCATCAGAGTAGCCAGACTCTGCAAGAGATTGCAGGCAGAGAAGATTGTCCTTTTGAATGACTGCTAAATATGATGTAGAAATTATAATAGATGGTATACACTTGATTGATAACTCAGGGCTGTCTTTCTTTAAAGATCAAGTCTCTCTTCCTAGAGCTAAAGGAGAATCTATATTGTAATGGCTGCTGTTTCCCAGCTGGAGATTACTGTTATCTCATGTACATACTTAAGGACTCATTGGCAGCAACTCATGATACATGGCAATAGTGCACATGTACAATAGCCTGGCAGTAAGGAGAGGAAGAAGATGATTCATGGTTGGCCTGTGCGTATAGGGAACTATTCGATTTCCGGTTCAGATGCCAGAGATTCAATTCAGAGTTCCGAATAGGTTTCCTGCTTAGATTCACCTGAATCTGCACCAATTCAGAGATTTGGCCATAGGGTATAATGAGGAATCAATGAAATATCTATAACTTTGTTTCTGTTTTTTTTCCAATTTGGATGATAGTAGCCTCTGCCGAGAGCATGAAGCCTTCGAAGTTTCAGGGAGATGGGTACAGGGGTTTAGGGGAAACTGCACCCCAAATTCTTGAAAGCAAAACTCATGTCACACGTATGTGTTATGCCACCATGGGGTGAAAATTGCAGGGGTGGTAGCCCCTGCTGAGGCCATGAAGCCTGCCAAGTTTCAAGGAGATAGGTGCAGGGGTTTGGGGGAAACTGCACCTCAAGCTGCTGACAGGCAAAACTCACATGTGTTAAGGCGCACTGGGGTGAAAGCTGCAAGCCTGCTAGCCCCTTTTGTGGCCACGAAGCCTGCCAGCTGTGAAAGAGATAGGTGCGGGGCTTCTGGGTTCTGGGGCTCTGCACCTCTAGCTGCTGACAGGCAAAACTCATGACATGGGTGCGTGTACAACTGTGTCTGTCTTGGGGGGGTGGGGGGCAATCTATTGTAGGCCTGGCTGCTAAGTCCTGCTGTGGACACAAAGCCTGCCAGCTGTTAAGGAGATAGGTGCAGGGGGGGTCTGGGGCCCTGCACCCCTAGCTGTTGATAGACAAAATGTGTGACATGGGTGCTTGTGCAGCTGACTGTCTCTGTGTTGGGGCAGTTGATTGTCAGTATTGATGTATTTCTTCTCCTTAGTTTGTGGTTTTGTAGGTCTTAATCCTCACCCATTAACTCGTTATCTAGTAGCTACTAACTAGCTACTGTGTATTGAGCTGGTCCCTGAGCAAATCACGATTGATTGGTAACACAGTAGCTTAGCAGCCAGGCCTGCAGTAGTTCCCCCCCC